AGGGAAATGGTTTTAATTATTTCAAGCTTTGGTTTCAGAAGGGGCTCAAATTATTTCATAAAATTTGTGTTTCAACAGTCAAGTATCCTCTTCCAGCAAAGTGATGCCAATGCTGTACTTAGAGAAAAAGCATACTGTGGTTTTATTTTAAAAGCTCTGCCATTGCATAAGGTTTACTATGTGCAATTTCCATGATGTTGTACAATCACACTTAAGTGTGGGGCATTACACTGAAGCTGTTCAGTACAGTAGGATGCAGTATAATATAACTTCATCTTCTGTAATGCCTTTTGTGCTGAATGTACTCACCAATTTTGCAGAAAGCCTCTCTCAGCTCTGTCATCTCCTCCTCTGAGATGTGGGTTGATGCCATCTTTGCTTCTCTGAATGACCAGCCTGCAAAAAGACATATATTATTATTTGATGCTTTTCTCTTTTTAATCACTAGGGGTTCCATGTAATTTTACCTCAAAATTGGAATCAGCACGATAGCACAAGGTCAGTGAACCATTCCTTATTACTTACAATAGCTTCTTTCTGTGTAAAGTCAGTCCTTTTATTTTTAATTTCGTGTCTCAGGCTGAATCAGCCAATGACTTCCTAATTCTATTGGCTAAGCAGAGCTCAATTGTTCAAATCTGTGTAGTGCTACAACTGGCAAGTATCCTACCTCCCAAACTCTTCAGCCTGGAGCTTCAAATACTCCCAAATCCATGGCAGGCATCCTACATGCAAACCCCAAGCCCAGAGGCCTGGAGTTCAGATGCCCACTAGTTTCACTTGCCCCTAGCCAAAAAGCCAAAGGAACAAGCTAGAGGGAAAGCTTGAGAGCAATTCCCCATCACTGTAAATTGTGTACCCTAGATCCTCACATTTGGAGGCATTTGTAGACTCTCGCAGGGGTCAGTCTGCCGACAGCGCAAGGGATAGGTCTTCACACAACTACACCAAGCCATTCAAGACCAAGAAGAAGAGTATCTCCCCTTCCAAGTAAGTAAAATAACCTGAGCTGAAAACCAAGAGTATCTCCCCTTCCAAGTAAGTAAAATAATGTGAGCTGAAAACCCCCTCATGGTATCTCCCCTGCCAGTCAGTCATGCAACTAAGAGAAGACTTTCTGTATGTAATTCCCCTTGATCGATGTTGTTTTGCCAAACCCTGTTCCAGATGCTTCTCTAGGCTGGTGAGTATTTATGATACTAACCTAAGAGCTAAATCCTGCCCTTACTTAACCTAGCTAACTTGTGGATGGTGCACAGCAGAGTGACAGAGAAGAATCATGCTGGACACTCATTCATTCCCAAAGCTGCCTTGCAAGTATAGTTCAAGGTGACTCAGATATTTGAAAGGAAACACAAGATTGAATTCACTTTGCTGCTGCTGCAGTGGGGAACAGCTTCTTTACCTAATGAATGTATCCATCACATAGCATATAAGCAGAGGGGCTGCCAGCTAGCAAACGTGTCCTGAGGGGGTGAGGGTCACACACAAGTGTGGCAGCAGGGACTCCCATCTCAGCGCTTTCCTGAACTCTAGGCTGGAATTGTGGCCCTGTTGCTTCATGGGTGAACTCTGAGAGCAAGCAACGTTTTGGTACCCTTTTCCCCTCTCAGCACACCCACACAATGCAAAGAAGGCGTAGTTTGGAAATCCTATATTTTATTCCAGTATCATTGGGAGGTTAGGATAGAGGGGGAAAGTTTAGTTTCCCATCTGACAGGTAGTTGTCACATCTCTTTATTCATGACCAGAAAGTTCTAAGGGATCATATGCCACATTCTTTTCCCCAGTCTATGTCTGTCTTGTCAGCATCCCTCCCCTCCCCTCCCTGCCCTCCTCCCCCCACCAACCAGCTCACCAAAATTCCCTAAGGGACCTCGTACTCAGCCAGGTAGATGGGATGGGGCTGTGGGCAGGCAGGGAGTGGCATCTGGGAACAGGACACCCGAGAGGGGCCAGGATTGTGGGGCGGTGACAGTATGGGGCCCAGACCCAGGGCAGAGCTGCGATCTGCTCCCCACACACCCCTACCTGCGGAATTGGTGCCCATCACTGGGGCTTGCAGGGAGCAGACTGCAGTTCTGCCCTGGGTCCCACCCTGCACAGTCACTACCCCAAGATCCCATCCCATGATCCTGGCCCCACCCACTCATCCTGCTCCCAGACACTGTTCCCCACCCACCTACACCCCAGCCCATCTGCCCGGTCATGCTTTGTGGCCACATGGGTCCTGCGTCCAGCAGTGGGTGCAGGGCAGACAGGCCGGGGTGCCTGAACAGCAGGGCCAGATCTAACAGAGGCATCATCCAGAACAACTGCCACCACCAGACTGGCAGAAAGTGAGTCCAGCCACTGGGGCGGTGGGACTGGCTGCATGTGCCACATGCACATGCCACTTGGCTGCTCCCTATGCCTGGGCTGGGTGGAACCAAGGGACCTGCCGCCGGCCAGACAAAATCCCTTGGAGGACCAAATCTGTCCCACTGGTTTATTTTGCCCATTGCTGAGTTAGACTATAAATTATTCAGGGACAGTCAAATACCCCATGTCTCCCCTTTCTTGATTGCTGTTTAAGCCAATAAAAACATGATTATTAAAAAAACAGAATAGGATAGAATGAAACAGAATACAGGCTTGAGTTTGAGGCCTTTGAGGGTGGATACTAAAGTTGCAATGTTCTTTAACAAAGCAATAAAAGGAAATTTAGAAAGACACTACTGCACATTTAAAAGCATCATTTCATTAGAGAGACCCTAAGTGCAAAATCTATACAAAGTTGTAAAAGCTGTTATGGTGGATTTGAAAAATGGAAGATGATGTATGACAAGTTTGCTAGAAATCTTTGAGTATGATAGTTATTGTGTATTTGAATTGCAGATTTAGTGCTTTCTTGAGTTTTTCTATTGATTTAGACAGTGACTAAAGTGTGGTGTAGAAGAAAGGCTATCTATGGAGATGGATTAAAAATAGGCCAAAGACAATAAAATGCAGGTAGTTTTTCCATCCACTCTGTCTCTACAGCATTGTCATTTATCTGCCTCAGTTCTGCCATTTTCAGATCAGTAGTAAAGGATGGCTTCATCAAGAGAAAAAGTTGGGGCAGTTTGCTCAGATTTTCCTGAAGCAACATCCACAAAGAAGCATAGCAAGAGATGGTAGCCTTTCTGGGTCAAAGTTTGTGCACTTGTATTTCTACACTACTTAGTACAACAGGGGTCTGACTTCTACTGTAACACTGTACATAATACTATTTATCATTATTACAATTAGTGACCTATGAGAGACCAAATCATAAAAAGATTTAGCTGGACAGATCATTAATCTCTTCCAGTATAGGACTATTCTGTTCAACCTAGATATTTAATCAAACAATGCAACGTGCAATATGACTTATAATAAGACTATGCCATATATCAATAGAAAACAAGAACAACGATAATAGTACTTGTATCCTGTAACAGTCCTATTGCAAGCAGTTTTACAGTCATTTGGGCCAATTTACCACCCATGTAAGCTGTTCCCCTGAAGCAAAAATAACTGTACTTCCATATGCTGGGGAAGAATCCGATCATTGAAGCAAAAAGACCTACTGGCCACTGATGGCACAAGTTTGCCTGTAATTTTGATTACACCCCTTTCAGATCAATACTATCAACCCCAATATATAGATATGAAAACCTAACACAGAAATTAAATGGCTTGTCTAAGAATACAACACCAATGTAAAGACTAGGATTAGAGCTCCTAAGGGCTAGGGACAGACATTCAAAAAACTTGAGCCTGAATTGATTCAACCTTTGCAGGTTAGTCTAACCCAGCTAGGTTGAACCAGGTTCCAACCATACAGACAATCTCTCTGGACTGAGGAAATTCAGGTACGTGTCTACAATGGCTCAGGCTGGAAGCCGGGGGGGTGGGGGGGCTAGAGCAGCCCTCCCTTTCCTTGCAGAGCTGAGCTGAGGGGGTGTGGCCAGGTCTCAGCGGGAGGCTCTGATTAGGGAGGGTGTAAGCCTGCCTGCCTGCAGTCCCAGGCTTTTCCCGACTCGCTGCTCAAGGGGTGGGAGTGCTGCCAGCCCGCAGGCCCCAGATAGCACTGAGGCAAAGCGGGTGTGGGCCATGCATGCATTTGTTGATGATACGGAGCTTTTCAATCTCCCTCCCTGCTTCTGTATACTGTCTGCAGCAAACTGACAGGCAAGCAAACCGGGGGTGAAGGGGCTGATAACAGTGTCACGCCTATCTCAGTGTTTATTGCCCCATTAGTAAAACAGAGGGACATTACCAATTACCTGTTGATTTTGCCTGTTGATTCAGCACAGACCCAGCATGTGGTCTACTAGCTAATACACAGATACCTTCTCTGTAAGGCAGAGGGGAGGGGAGAATTCCTGCTTAGCAGGGAGTGGTAGAGGCGGGGAGGAGGGAGGGGAGCAAACAGCTCTTAAACTGCTTTTCCAAGGAAGGACATTATGCTACCTGTTGAATAGCTCCAAAAAGCCTGTCTGCCTCTGTCATCTCCCACAGCACTAGCTGTAGCCAGTATGTGGTCTGCTAGCTAATGCTGAGGTGTCTGTGAGGGAGGAGGGAATGCCTGCTTAGCATGGAGCAGGGAGGGGAGGGGGAGCAGAAGCCAGGCAGATGCCTGCAGAGACTGCCGAGCTCCAGCGAGGCAACAGAGGGGAGGGACCAGCACTGCTCTATGATGGTGGACCTGAGTCTGAGATGACAATTGGGCAGACAGATTATATATTACATGGGTCTGGGCTCTAGCCTTTTTATTTGTCCACTAAGCAGCATACACACCAGTACTGCAAAAGATCAGGTTGTGCAAATATATTCTTACTTCATTTGTAACCACATCAGAATGTTGGTTTATGTGTTCATTTATTTTATCATTCGCACTCTGTGTGCATGGAATGCTGACAAATTCATGCTGAAAAAGCCTCTGTAAGACATTCTCCTAATTTCTGTTGTGGCCAAAATAAATTACAACAGGATAATTTGTCTGGTTTTCAGTTGACCTCATCCCCAAAAGAACCAGCTATATCTCTGGTTTAAAAGATCTAATAAGTTATTTCTAACTGAGGACATAATGGAAGAAGAGAAATAACAGTCTCAAAACAGAAATGCACTTTCTTACCACTAAATTGAGGCACAGAAGAACTGATACTCTCATTTCTTTTGATTTTAAAACCAGTTTGAAAAGCTGAAAAGGACTGTATGTCATATGTTATTGTGTACTTCTTGGCAAAAAAGTCTGCATTCAAAGTGCAATATAAGTAATGATAAGTAATACTGGTAAATAGTAAAGGCATTAAAAACCTGAGCAATTTTATTATTTGCATTAAAATAGTTACCTAAAACATCTTGTTTCATATAGTTCTTCATTTTATGGTGTTTAAGCTTTATTTTAGGCAGTACAATGAAACCCTTTATTTATTGAGGTCCCTTCTATCCCTAATGTCTATGAAATCTATGAAATATATCCATACAGTGAAAGGTGAACTTTTAACTTTAAGTAAAATGGCAGATTTCTAGAGGCAGCCATTACCTTTCGTATGTGCATATTTTAAGAACCATTTCAACCAGCGATGGGATAGCTGAAATTTCCATGCACATTTTGCCTGTTGGGGTTTATTATTAGCACTGTCTTCTCTAGTGCATCAGAAGGAGGGAGAAGACTGGGTGAGTCCCTTGAATCACAGAATCATAAATTCTCCTGGTACACACACTTCTAAATGGTTTAGAAGCTAAAAGCTCAGCATTCTTGCAAAACAAAGCAAATAAAGCAGTAGAAAGAAGGAGAAAAAATCCCTATTTGCCTCTATAATAAAACCTCTCCCTTTCCTTTCACTTCTGTGTTTTCTTCTTTCACCAACAGTTCCCTCACCACATTCCTCTCCTACCTCATGTTCTTTAAATCATGGGAACCTTCTAATTCACATCCATCTAACTAATACTCTTCAGAAGGCCCCGTATACTTAGGGTGACCATAATTA